AAGTGACTAGGGCTTAGGCCCTAAACCCCTAAACCGTGCTCCAGGTTGTCGGTTTCGGGTTTAGGGTTTAGGGCCCCAAACCCTAAACCCTAAACCCTAAACCCTAAAACCTAAACCCTAAACGCTTTGAGCATGTCAAGGATCGAGGTGCAGGGTCGAGGCTTCGGGGTTTGGAGTGGGGGTTGGAGCTGGAGATGGCAATCTATACTTGGAGGTGGGTGTCTACGGTTTAGGTTCAGGGTTTAGGGTTTAGTTGTAAGTGGGGTGATAAGTAAGGTAAACTATAGTTATATGCCATTCTAGGGGATGTCTAGCCCTACTAACAACTACCCCTTAACCTCCAAGTATCAAGGGTGTCTACAGGTAGGCGCAGTACGTTTCCAACAACGACCTTTCGGGATTGTACTGAAGGGTTCATTTGCAGCTATGGATACACCATAAACCCTAAACCCTAAACCCAGTACAGTTGGCGTTGCAAGACCTCAAGCCTTCAAGCCCAATCAAAGAATAAAGCCTAAGCCCTGAAACCTTGAACTCTACATCCGAAACCCTAAGCCCTGAACTCCGTGAAACCCTGGACTCGAAAACCGAAAAACCAAAATTCAACCCTAAAATTTAGGGTTTAGGGTTTAGGGGCCCTAAACCCTAACCCTTAAGCCCCTGATACCCTGAACTCTAAAAGCCTACGCACCACTTCCGCACTCCGAAGGAAGAACACAGGTCTACTTGCGGGAGCTGGTGATCCTCCAAGTAAGGAGAAGGATTTGAAGGCTTTTTTTCTAAGTTATTTGGTTTAGGGTTTAGGGTTTTGGGGTTTAGGGGTTTAGGGTTTAGGGGTTTGGGGTTCAGGGGTTTAGGGTTTGAGAGTTTAGGGTTGAAGGTTTAGCTTAAGGACCAAAAGAGCTTTAGTAGCAGGGCCCCCTATATCCTCATACTAGCGCATCCCATATGACTCGTGACAATTAAGCCCACTCCGGGTCTACATTCAGTAAGGGCTTCGGGGTGTGTGGGGGAGTGTGGGGGGTGCTGGGGGGGGGGTGGGGGAAGAGGGGTGTATTCACTTTGCGGCTAGGCGGGACCCAGCACCGTAAGGGTTAGGGCTTGGGGGGTTTAAGCCTTCACCGGTCGAACTTTCACAGCTCTTAAGGAGAACGGATGCGGGCTTGGGGTTTAGACTTAAGGGGTTATTACAGTTATTACATGAAACTACAGGTGGGGAGTTTGTGGTATATAGAGCTTCTATAAGGCTTCCATAAGGTATATAGACCTTCTATAAGGCTCCTATAACGGTAACTACCCACCTGAAAATGTCCTAGAGGGTTAGTTTCAGAGGAGAGTTATGGTCCCAACTTCAAGACCTCATTTAGGGGTTTTAGGGGTTTTAGGGGTTTAGGGGTTTAGGGTTTAGGGCCTAGGGTGTAGGGTTTAGGGTTCAAGGTTTAGGGTTTAGGTCAAGCTCACCCAAGCCTCCAAACAGGGAAAAAAGCAGAGGATTCTTGGGTTTTGGGGGCTTTCGGGCTCATGGTGCCGCCGAGAAACTGCAGCAAACATCCACCGCGGTGAGCGTCTCGTTCTGAGGGGATGATGGCTTTGATACTCGGCTTTGGGCTCCCGAACCCCTACGTTCCCGAGTGTCTGACGACGGCCTTTTTAAAGGACCTGCACATAAGCTTCGAAAAGGGCCCAAATCCTGAAGACTAAACCCTAAACTTACAGTTGACCCTATCTCCTAAACCAAAAACCCTGGACTTGAAGCTTTACCCAAAAAACCCGAACCATGTGGTGGTTAAGCTTGGGCTTCCGAGCAGGATGTGGTTCAGGGGTTTGACGGTTTTGTGGCCAGACGGTTTCGGCTTTCGCTCTAGGGTTTTTTAAATTGAAGGTTCAGGCTTTGGGGGTTTAGGATTTAGGGTTTAGGGGTTTAGGGGCTCAGGGGGTGGGGTGCAGGGTTTAGAGCTTGGTGTTTGGACTTTGAGGCGTAGAAGCTTGCGCTCCACGCTTCGAGTGGACGGTGCAAAACGAGGGGAGCCTCTGAAAATCCGGCTTCGGGTCTCGAGCCGTCTAACAGAGCTCACTCTTCGGGTTTGGGGTTTAGGGTTTAGGGTTTGGGGTTTGGGGTGTAGGGCTTAGGGTTTAGGGTTTCGGGCTTGGGGTTTAGGGTTTAGGGTTTAGGGTCTGGGGTTTGGGGTTTGGGGTTTGGGGTTTAGGGTTTAGGGTTCCTGAAGTCGGAGTAAGCGGCCCTGTAGATATTAAAGTTAGTACAGCTGTGTGTGTGTAGATATGTGTAGATATGTGTGTGTATATAGAGAATACACGGCGACATCCAGAGCCTTACAATGGTCTGCACAAGCTGTGTTATCGTATGAAGCCCTTTGCAAAGCCCGGTGCATATCTGCACACATACATACATGAATACGTACATACATACGCACATACGTACATACGTACATGCGTACATACATACATACGTACATACGTAACATACGTAACATACGTACATACGTACATGCGTACATACGTGCGGACAGACATACCTACATACATATATAGAATTATATATATATATATATATATATGCATTCAATGTTGACTGTGATGGTACGCCGTATGTAAACATATGTGTTTGATGCATATACGTGTGTGTATGTGTATATGTATGTACATATATCTGTATAGATGAAACTGTCTAACTGAGCGTTTTGGGGTCTCTCTGTACAGGGCGGTCCGGCAGCAGGTAGTCGGCAAAGAAAGATCGAAATTCTGGATCCCACTCGTGGTCATACCTTGCTTGGGGCTTCAGAAGGGTTTAGGGTTTAGGGTTTAGGGTTTTGTATGGGCCTTGCCAAGGCTTTACAAGGACGCTGTAAAGTTTTACAAGCGGGTTTGCAGGGTTTAGAAGTTTAGACGGCATTACATGGTCCTACAAGGGTTTACAGGAACTTAGCTTAAGTGGCCATCATGAACCAAGGCTGCTCCCCATCCGTGGGGCTCATCGGGGGCTCTGAGGCTGTGGCGGTTTCGCGACGTGCCGCTGGGATTCGATCACTTCACAGACCCCCTAAGCCCTAGCCCTAAACCTCAATCCCTGAGCCCTAGAGCTTGAAGGGTGGGTGCCAAAATGGCTTAGGTCCCGTTGGATAGAATTCCTGGGCCCCCCGACCTGCCCGACCTACTAGCCACAAGAAAACCTCACGACCCAGAGAGCCCAATACCCCTCGATATCGGAATATAGGGTTTAGGGTTTAGGGTTTAGGGTTTGCTTAGCTTGTAGGAAGAGCCACGCCCCCGTCGGAGTACACCACTTCTTGGTGTTGCGGTAATGGTTGCAGTCACGCCCATCCTTGTCCTGTGTCGGCTTTAGGGTCTTCGACGTCTCTGCACACTTCGAAAGTTGTATAGGGCTTACCTACGTAGGCTTTAGACTGTAGCACTACGGGGTCAGGGCTTCCCTTCAGGGCCCCCTTGAGGCCTGGGGTTTATGTTTTGGGCTCGGCTCCCCTTCCCGAGGGTCCTGCCATCCTGGAATCAGATCGGTGCAGGCATCTCCGCCGCGAAGCCTTGTTGATGTGCTGAGCTTTGGGGCATGGCTTCGGGGGTGGCGGGGGCCTGCAGTCAAGTTTGCAGGATTCGGGGGTGGGCTTCCCTCCGCAGTTCGGTGTGTCGGGACTTACGAAACCTGTGGTCGAGAAGGCTTTCAAAGTTGGCTTCACCTTGAATTCTCCCCCGTTCTAGCTAGGGCTCAGGATGCACCTGCACTAGACCCTGCAACTGCAACTACGCCCCATCATCGCCTACATACCCACAAGAGTAACATGCCCTAAACATCCCTAAACCCTAAACCCTAAACCCTAAACCCTACATACTGTCAGTCCAAAAGTAACATGGACATGACGGCTTCTGGAGCTTCGGGTGTAAGGTTAGGACCCAGAGGGCACACAGTCCCTGTGAATCATATCAGGTTTATGCGGGAAATCGCCGCTACGGTTTGGGATTTAATGCAAAAAAGTGGTTTAGGGATTATAAAGATCAAAAAGGCCTTCTATGCCAGGTCCTCCTTACTACACTAGTATCTCCGAATTCCCTAAACCCTGCCAAAGCCTTGCAATCAAATGTTACGAACGAGAACACTCGAGGCAAAACCTCGTAAAAAGGCCACAAGCTGAACAATTTCCGGAATCCTGTCGCAACCCCTCAAAGTCCTATCAACAAGGAAGACCCTAGGGTTTTAGGTATGTCAAGACCAGAAACCTTCTGACGAAAACCTATACAACACCTATACCAAGCCGCCAGGCGATCGTGGCAACAGCCCACCAACCAGAGCCGGCCCGCATGGTTGCAGGTGTCTATCGAAACTCCGAGAATTTTTCCAAGCTTCCCGCACAAGATTCCGAAGGCTTGGGGTGTAGGCATGGGGCTTCGGACTGACAGATTGCAGGGTCAGGTTTTAAGATTTATGTGTGTGGATTACAAAGCTTTTGGTTCAGAGGCATATCAAACATTCAAGACGTGTGTCTTATTTGGAACCTTGTGGTAAATAGGGGCCCCCGTGACAGGAATTGAACTCCGTACTTACGACAATGAGGGGTTCGTATTTGGGGGTCCTACTTTGTAGAGCCTGTTTTGTATAGATCAAAAAAACCAGCCTTCCTAACAAGATCGGCACCTCGCTTGCGTGGATCTTACAGCTCTTCGTTACAAAGTTTAAAGTTTAGACGTAGAGTTTAGGGTTTGAGGCGTGCGGATGGAAAGCCCTTCTAAACACGCTGTGACACCCGTCCAAGGTGTTCTGGGCTCCGACAAAGCTCTGCGAAATACCAACGACACTCTTACCGCCCACGCAGAGCACGGGGTCTTTAGGCAGGGTTTAGGGTTTAGTGGGGCGAGGATATGTGAAAGTTCGCATTCACGGAGTTGGTTGAGAGTCTAGAAAAATATCAGTGGCCGGCTATTTGACCTGTATGGTCACCGGCCGCACAGCAAACGAATTCCTTCTTCGAAGGAATAGGTTGAAAAACTGGTCAGAATCCTCGTGATTCGTCCCGGGGCGCCGCGGTCGTGTGGAAGATGTATGGGAATCATAACATTGGCTTAATTTTGCTTCGGTCAACTGGATCTGTCGGCGCCAAGGACGAACTAATCAATATCAGGCTTCTGCACTGAAATACGGGCACACTAACGCTGCGTGAGCCTCAAAAGAACACACTGTCGAAAGTGATTGCATCCTCTGCATTCTTTGACTTAACGGCTAGGCATATCATGGCACCATGAATGATGCTAGGACGATATCTGTCCTGCAAAAGATTGGCCCTGGTCTGGTCTTGTCAGGCCCGCGACACTCCAAAACCATGCTTGAGATTGTCGAAATCCACTTGCGGGTCCTGGAAGTTCCTCGTTCGCAACTAGTGAACGGCTTGTGTTCCAAAGTGGCAGCACACCGGGCCAAGTATACTGACTAAAAAATACGGTTTGCGAACATCCACTCGACCCATTATCGATGTGCACTCATATCTTTGCAGGTCTGGGACTTGCTATGCACACGTTGGCTACACCAAGTAGGACAATTCAAATCACATGATCAGCTCTAGCACTGTTGAAGCTCGTGCAAATCCCGATCTGCGTATGTTGTCTTTTGAACACCTAAATGTCCTTGTGGATCGTCCGCCCGCCACGCGGTCAAAAGCGGCCTGCCGTCTTTTCCTGGTTCCGCATCAACGAGCTTGTTCGCTTCCGAAAAAATCGAAACGGCATGCGGTTGACTCGGATTGTTGTTCAACCCCCCAATAATTCTTTTGGAACCTCCAAAAGCTTTTAAAAAACGAAAAGAAGCAATACTAAGTTACTAACAGAAACGGAAAATAAACCGAGCACGTCTGTACTTTAAAGCAACACGAAGCGATGACACATGAAAAACAGATCCAAACATGTCCACCGCTAGCGGAGAAACCAGGTACCTTTATGACAAAGCGGAGTCGAATCTAAAAATGTTGAAAATAAAGCGCATCCATGATCTCGAAGAAATGCAACGCTATAAAGACCATGCTAAAACTACCAAACTCTTCTCAGCCAGTAACTGTTTGCATGATCGACAATTCCGCGGCGGCAACACGACGGGCATGTTGCATGACATTGCTCCAACGTAAATGCGCTTTCGGTGTAAGAAAACAGTTAGCATGCTGCCGAACAGCAGATTGGTTTCACTTGTTTTTTTGCAGACACGCTTTCAAGCACTGGCTCTTGGCCCAACCCCGGTCTGCAGGTTGGTTGGGCTAATGGGCTCCTTCCACAAAGGGGGGGCCTTAATGGGGTGGCGAAGACCGTCCAAATCAGGCAACGAGCTAAGACTCACCCGTGGCAGGTTCACCCATTTGCCAGGCAAACGGAACCACCTGTCACAGATCAGTCAGCTTGGTTCCGAACATGCAGAAACGACAGCCTGATTCCAAGAACTTCGCAAACTTCGTTTCCGCTCCGCATTGGTCGTGCAGCGACGAGGACCATACCAGGCAGTGAGTGGCAGATGCTGTGGCTGCCATGCACAAGGTCGGCTATGAAATGGTTGGTGGGGAAGCGGCAGCATTCCTCCAAGAAAGACACCCCATGGAGGAGTTGCAGGGCTGACTAAAACCCACTTCCAGGCAAAGACCGCCCAGCATTTCACTGAAGAAGGCTGTGGTTTCTGTGCGGTTGAAATCAGGACTAAAGGAGTGAATCTTCTTCTCCTAAGTCTGTACCTTAAGAATTCCACCCCTTCAGTGCCAAACACACATTGGGTAATGGTTGGTGGCAGGCGATTTCAACGTCTCGCTACAGGAACATAGCTGGGCTCACGGCAACTACTTGGATTGGAGTGTCCCTCACCGCCCTCATGCCAGCATGTGTATTTCACTTTGCATGCCAGGGCAAACAGCACAAAGCGTTTCGCTTGCCCGATTTCTCAGTGAAAGATGCCACTGAAGGGTGTTGCTTGAGTAAGACCCCACCTGGGCTTTAATTTCACCGAAGACGAGACTTCGAGGAATTTAGTGTTCTCTCCCAATGGTGCCAAATGGCAAAGTAATCGGAAAAAACAAGTCTATGGCTGAGAGTCAAGTCGTGGCTAAATGCTGTTGTCAAGGACAATCGGTGGTTAGTTTGCACTTTGGAGAAAAAAGCGAACCGATGGAGATTCTCGCCCATTTTCATTGCTAAAAGACAAAGAGAAAATGATTCGTGGCTTTATTAAGAAGGTTCAAAGTGAGCATTTGGCGGCCAACAAAGCAGTGGTACCAGAAATGGCTGGAAGGTGGAATGGTCAAAGACATGCGCCGCTCTCTTTACAAGGCTACAAGGTCTCACGAGCAAGTCTAGTCAGACCCTTCAAAACTAAAGAAGTAGCCCCAAGATCACCAACAATGGCGATTTTGAACAGCTAGACCATGCCGATGGAACCGATTCTGCCTAAGCTGCACGCCAGACCGGTAGAGGAGGCAGCCAAAACTTCCAGCCATTGCTGTCTACCAGCTACTTAGTGCCTCTCTGAAAAGACAACGCATGGCGAACTTGACATGGCGAACTTGACCGGCACAGTTTTCAATGTTTTCAGCGTCCAAAACAAAATTCAAAAAAATTCTACACACTTAGCGCTCTTGTTCACAATAAAAGAAATAGACCCCTGCCTTGCTCCATGTGGTTCAAGAATTGCCCTATGTCAAATTCGCCATGTTCGCAAAAACAAAGACATCGAGAGGCCAATTGGTTTGTGCAATGTGGTGGCTTCAGGTAGGTAAAACCATCGGCGTCTACAATGTTTACGGGCATGACTTTAACTCGAAATCGTAACGTGCTTCGTG